GGATAAATAAATTAAATCGTGCCTGACTTTACAAGTAAACCTAGAATTACATCTATGTGGCCCTCACAAAAATTATGTTTTAACAGTACAACAGTCCCCCAGTGGGACTGTGATAAATCTACAGACTTACAATGCTAAAATCTGGGGTTCGATTCTACGTGGTGAACACAGCAGAAAATCCATTGTAGCTTTGCTCTAAAACAAACAGTACAACATAATATAGTTATCACACATCCCAAAATTCATGTATAATGTTCAGAAATGATCTTGAGACTAAACACTTGTCAATACTCACAAGATCCGAATATAATTTAGTATAGACTAACTAAACTTATTTCCGAATCAAACCTATTCGAAAGCAATATTTACATTATGTTGTTTTTTTGTTTTTCATTTTGAATAATCAAGTGATCATATTATGATTTTGACGTACAAGACTAAATCATATAACTTAGCAATATCTCAGTTACCAAAACTGCAATATATTCCTTTCCCAATATCAATGAAAAAAATAATGCGTCAAGCATATCTTTCAGTTGATGTAATGTAGGTTATCTTGTAAATCAATGCATTTTATTCAGTGAAAATCACATGCTCTCAAACATTTCAGTTTTAACTCAAGACTGAAACATCCTCTCTCTCTCCCTGCATTACTAATACACAGGCCACTTCGTGTTTTTGTCTCAGTATTTTTCAATAATAGGATAGCTAAATAATATTTTTGACAGAATTGTTCAAATCGCGATACAAGCATGAAACTTGGCTTGAATGTTTTCATTGGCTAATGTTTCATAAAATATACATTAGCAACCTGAAAATCTAAGATGACTGCAATTTCTTCAGTCAACGTCAACTTTTGCCATATAAATTGATAAATTGCCTAATTTGAGTGATCTCAGTAACTAGTAACATGTTTATGAGCATTCTACAATTAATTATGATATTTCAAAATCCCACTCCTGAATGAACAACCAGCTTGCAGACAAAAGAGTGAATGTCAATGCATTAACAGGGCACACTGGTGACATCACTGCTGTGTAATGCAGCATGAGGTTCAGTGTCAGCTAAATATAGCAATGTTTTAGTGTTCCAAATGCTACCTAATCAGTCCCATTATTGCCAGCACGGAGAGCCATGCCAAGGATTACTGGGCTGTTGTTATCTGGATGGTATACATATCGCACGCCACTTGAATTACAAAAGCACGAACCTAGTTGAATCATATAGAGCAAAGTGGATAGTGAACAAGGTAGTAAAAGGATAAGCCTTCTACCATCAACTATTGATTCACTTACATACAAAAATCACCAAGTCTACCAAGTATAAATAACAAACTGACTGGATTAAATGTCACCTTTGTGAACAGAACAAGAAGAAAGATCTCAAGCCACCACCAAGCTACTACAATAGAGGACAAGATGACAATACTAACATCACAACAAATATGGTATCCATTATTTCAATAATGTTGGTCACAGCCAGACTATATTATGGTGGTGGAATGGAGGCTACATTGAGAAAAACATAGGGCTCCTGACAGAACATCTACCACTGCAAAAAAAAACAACAACAACAAAATCGACGAAATCCCCCCCCCCCCAAAAAAAAGATGTGTAGAATGTGAATCTGCTTTTTTTATGTGAGAAAGATATTCCAGGATTTGCTTTAAGACAAGCAATGACCATGAAGAGAAATGGACACTCTTCGCAAAACTCAGTGGTGGAAATGTATTAGGTTATCAGGAACATTTGAGAGGTGTGATAATAGTAAAACTACTTAACCCTAATACTTTAATGTAGAAATTGGACAACTAAATATGTTTGTGTATTCAAAAAATAACATTTATGGCGTAACCACAATGAGTAGTATTGGCAATGTGGGCAAATGTTTTTGAAATGGTTGCAGTGAATGGGAGCATTCACAGTAGTCACGAGTAACACCATTTGAAGGAGTGCGCCATGCCGAGGAATTAGAACCTGCCTCTACTTTTTTCTTGCTGCATGGCTCGAATTAAGCTAACCAACCAGAATAAGTTAAACAATCTTGAAACAACTATAAACGTAGAAGCACGTGAAATATAGATAACTAAAAATGGATGTATGAAGAGCAGCAGCATTCTCTGTTGCAAAACTGCAAACTAAGTTCATATAAAGACATTTCAAAATAGGACGATTCCTGGCTGAACATTGCATGCATTCTTGGAATTACTGGTGAATAAAACTCTGCTTTTGTGTGATAAATAAATAGGGTTGTCGTATGGTTCTATGGTCACTAGATTTGTTCGTTTGTAATTAAGCACAAAGCTACAAAATGGGCTATCTGTGCTCTGCCCACCAGACATACCGCTGTGCCACTGGGGGGGGGGGGGCTGGTCACTGGAACACTTTAAACTGGGTTTGAAAGTTGATATGAACTGAAAGACATTAACATGTAAAGTGAACGTTACCTCTTTGTTAAATTGAGTATTGTTGCTTTATCACTGTGTGTAGTAATAAAAATAAAGATAATATAATTTTGAATAATAAAAATAAACGAAAAGGACTAAAGTATTAATTTGTAAAGACTGGCATTTATATTTAAAACAGAGCTGATATTGCAGCAAGTTAATTCAATACTAAAATTGGATAGCTCATGTTCAGTGTGTACATTTGGAGCTGACACTAAGAATGCACAGAATCACTTAGAAATATACAGACCACTTCATGGGTTAGTTTCTAGTCTGGACTGATTCGAATTCACAGGTGTGTGTACAGACACTCTATCGTGCTAATCACATCCCTTGTGCTGCCGTTGTTGCTAGTTTCTAGTGTAGATTCAGTTTTACATGACAAAATGGTGGCCATCTTGTTTTTTCTGGTAGCTAACGATATTTTCATAAAAATTATATCTATGAGAAAATCCATGACACCTTTCATGCTTGTATCAGTAGTTGAATTATTATACATGTTTTCTTTCCTTGTATGTATCATATTAATGTAAGTAATGTATACACAAACTAGTTTAACCTTTTTCAGAGTGGATATATTTTTGTTTTTTCTCAAAAGTCACAATGAAAATACTTAACCAAATTGCATAAAACATAGAACAAAATTATTAACTAATATCTAGTCTTGGCTTGAAAAAGTTGTTTAATTATAGTTTTTCTGTAAATTTTTATGTTATGAATTTTTCAAAATTTTATTATAAGACACTGTCTTGAAACAAAAACACAAACCAAAACATGAAAAAGACCACCTTTCGTTTCAGGATTTTAATTTATTTTATTCTTGACCAGGAAGTTTCATTTGATATATATCATCAGTTTCAACTTCAGTAGCTTATTTATTTAGATATTTTTTTAGTCTATGCTAGCTATAACTTCTAAAAACACCTCAGAAACTGACAACATTCTGTCGGTGACCTAGCTTTTCATAAAGGTGATAAGTCAGACAAGGTAACAATAAAATCATCAGTCGAAATCTATTTGTTTAATAATTGTACTTTATTTTCATTAAACTATAAGATGTTGTATTTATGTGCATTGTTTGAATACAATAAGCTTAACAATAATGTACAATAATAAAGAATTTGAGTCACCAGAATATTTGCCCTCGCCTACTATACTTTCTAAGTATGAGGTTTTACTGATGCTTTTTCATAGAAGAAAATTTCAGTGACTTTAAAGAAATATAATTTAACACAAACAATTTTAGGAACGAAAATATCATCTAAAGAAACTATTGTTGTAAACTATATTTTCAATGTTTTAATTCAGATTTTTGCTAGAGGGCGCATAATGTTAAAATCTAGAAAGTTCATTAAAGTTAAGAATCGATAAATTTTATGCAGCATGTAGAAACATTGGTATAATAAAAGTACAAGAATTAAGGAAGCAATGAGTATTTAGTAATCAATGATTGATTCAGTTGAGTTTTACTAGTGAGAGTTAGCATGTTTGTTTATCTTTTGGTTAATTTTGAGAAGTAATTGTATAAGTAAGATAATGTGAGATTCTTGCAGGATAATTACAGAATAAATCTAAATTTAACTAACTGACTGAGATTAAAGTGAGATTTATAAACGTATTAGACACTTGATTTATTTATAATCAGAACGAAAAAGTGTGCGTACTGCTCCCTCCGCCCAGAGGCACAGCATTAAGTCTGAAGGCTTATAATGCTAAAAACTGGGTTTCGATACCTGTGGTAGACACAGCACAAATAGTCCATTGTGTAGCTTTGTGCTAACTACATACAAACAAAAGTGTGCGTACTTGAGAAAAACACTTTACAATGACCTTCGTAGTGGACATGCGAATTGATCAACAGCTTCCATCTCTTGGGATGTATATCTGTTGTCCCATTCATGTTGATAACGAAACAGAACAATTTAGAACCAACACTCCTTACAAAAGTCCATAAGCAAAGCCTCACCTCATGACTAGAAATTCTCTTACAGTATACAAAGGCAGTAATCTTTAGGACATTGCTGCTGATGACCTATTCTACATTATGTGCAAAGTGGCAGCAACATCCTCGTAGGCAAACTTGATACTATCAGGTAAAGAACAACAAAGAAAAAGGTAGCTGGACCGAAACAATTCAACAGCTTTCTAGACCATGTGTTTATGCCAAAACTGCATAGAATCAGACTAAATGATTTTTTAAACTTCCTTTATTAAAAAGCAATTAGATAATATATGATATACCCGCCTATAACTAGGAGCCACAACTCTTATTATTGTGAAGGTCGATTTACTGCGTGTTCTTCATTACGAGTTTCGGAAAACCATACAGGAGCCTATTATTTGCTGTTACTAATAAAAGTGATAATTCAACTCACGGGACATAGAACAGTAAAAAACAACAACAACAACTTAGAAATATTAATAATTATTATTCTTTGAGTTTGACAGCCAACACATGAAAGATAACAAATACCAAATTATTAAATAAAGTAATATACAGTAGAGGGCATGCAGGCGCTTGGTTTCTTTTTCTGTTTACATGTACTAGTGGGCGGTAGAATCAAAGTGCTTTTAACCCAAACGCGGAAGCTCACAATGACTAGTTTTGTACGTTATACTACAATTCACTAATTTTACTACACTCTTTGTTATTGCTGTTGGTTAACAGAAACTGCTATCCTTTTTGTGATTCGATTGGAAACAGTTTAAAACTGACTTTCGTTTCAACTTCCAAGTTCCGGTGTGTTTTACCGTAATTTACGTAAGAATATATCTCAGTGATAGTACTGTCTCTCTGCGGCACCCCACTGTACCTGATGTATTTCATGGTGCCCCGAATCATTGTTACATAGACTAAAAAGTATATAACATGGCAGTTATGTTTTAACTTTTAATCATTTTGAGTAGTACTAATTGTAGATTCTTTTGAGTTCAAAGTTCAAGTCCTAATCTTTTTGGTAACCAACGTCGCCTCTTGATTAACAAATACTTCATTTGTCATAAGGCTTTAACAAATTTAACTTTAAGCCAAGAGTTGAATATTATTATTAAGTTATTAGTATTACTTAAACTTTAGCATTATAAAATGTGTAGCGTTATAATATTTTATTTTTCAGTAGACTTTTGTAAGTGATATATAAAGCTTTAACATAACTACACCATAAGGCTTCTGTACTTTCCTTTATCTTCACCTTGATTTAAAATAATAACCAACCAGGAAGAAAGTTATGAACAAAATAAAGACTCGAACATAATTTATAAATACCATGCAAATTTTCTGATCCATGCAGCTTATGATTAAGCTTAACTTTCCCTAAGTATATCAGAAATAGTATTAGAACAAGGTTATGTTGCAAAATCTTTAGGTAACCCGTACATTTATCAAGTTATTGCTGGTGTACCAATTCATGAATTACATGCTTTTTTTTTGCTGCTAACCTTAGAAAAGTTATACCAATAATTATTTTGAATTATAAAAATGTTTGTATATTCATTTTTTTTTGCAAAATTTGTTTGCATCTTATTTCAAATAACATTGCTGAAGATAACGATATTGTATTTCTTTCAGTGTATGTTATTATTATCGAGTCATCATTATTTTTTATGAACAGTTTTAGATTTTTTTACTTTTGAATGTTTACAGCTTGTAAGATGTGTCAAAGTTCTTGAATGGGAGACTATATCACGGTTATCATAATGCAGATTATAAGTATAATTTGGATGGGAATAACCTAACAGTGTTAAGAAGGAAAGGGATCTTGGTGTAATAGTTAACCAGTCTCTAAAACCATCCAAGCAATGTGCTGTTGCTAGTGGTAGGGCAAATAGGATTTTAGGTTGTATGTACTGAAATATTGAATACAGGTCTAAAGAGGTTATAATTTCATTGTACAGGTCACTAGTTAGGCCACATTTGTGTTCAGTCTGGGCTCCTTACCTTAGGAAAGGCATTGAATTATTGGAAAGGGTTCAGAGAAGGGTTACTAGAATGGTGCCTGGGATGGAGGGGTTGTCATACGAGGAGAGGCTGAAATCTTTCAATCTGTTTTATATTGAAAAAAGAAGAGTTAGGGAGGATCTGATTGAGGTGTTTAAGATTGTAAAGGGAACTGATAGTTTTAACAGTGAGAATAGTAGGACTAGGGGACAAAAATATAAATTTGGCAAGGTAGGAATCATCTTCAGCTAAGATAGTTTGAATTTTCTAACAGGGTGGTTGGCTTTTGGAATAGGTTGCCTTTCAGTGTTGTAGAGGAAGTAAATTTAAGAAAAAGCTTGATAATTATATGAATGATAAGGGCTGGCTTTAATATTTTTTCTTTTAATTATTTGAATTTAGCTTAGAGGATGGAACAGCCGAGATCGACCAATAGGTCCCATGTTGTCCCAAAACGTTTTGTTATATAGATTCTTTAATATATCTAATGAACAGATTAATTTAGCTGGAACATTGTATTGATTTAATTTATGATGCCTCAAAACCAGAAAATTTTCATTTTTCAACTATGCTATATTTTATATTTATGTGAGTTATTGAGAGTACAGAAATTAATCAAAAAGAAAGTGAAATGGAGCATACATTTAATATACGGAATAAATTTGTAACCAGGAAGTCATGTTCATAATGAAAAGTGGAAATGTTCGGTGTGTTAAAAATAGAAAGCATATGGATCAACTTATATTATTGCAAGTGAAAACAAATAATGGTAATAAGCATGCAGTGTACAAAGATATTTACACTATAATGTGCTGTCTACACAGATACTATAATCCTCACCATTTTAACTTTTGTTTATTTTCAATTGATGCCAGTTATTATAAATAATATTTTTAAACTAATAAAGTACAAAATGTTATTATATAAGGTTTTTGAGGCAAATGTAATTGGAATGAAATAAGTTCCAAGAATCAAAAATAGTACAATTATAACTTAAATTTAATGTACTCTTTTGAAACACAAACTTATTTAATTATTATTATTTGCTGAACAAAAAGATGGCTAGATATAAATCAATTATCAAAAAGTTATGTTTTAGTGAATCATTAAAACAGTGATAGACCAGATGCTATAGTGTAAATATCTTTGTAGACTGCATGCTATAGTAGCACCAAACAAACTTTGTGTAATAAATTTATATCAAAGTACTGCACTTGTTTTTCAGGCTTATAACTGACAAAATGTTCTATCATTTTTTTATTTAGTATCTCAAAAGTAAATATAAAATTAGAATGGGAATTGGGCCCTCACAAACTGCTGATGAAAATGTTTTTGGTTAAGTCTGTGAGATGTCTGAGCTATTAAATGTTCTCTTTCATTTTTACATTATAGGATATTGTTACATCTCTGTATGTTTGTTTGTTAATTTTTCTACGATACAAGTCCTTTCTTAAATAAAACTTGTTTATTCTTCCTCAGTACAACTTTGCAATACACTTAATTTTCACAGTTACACACACTATAGTTCACAACAATTCACTCACTTTCTACCGCGCTTGACTCAATTGTTCGTCTCTATCTCTGCCTGTCAGCAACTATAGTTCTGATCTCTGTATCTGCTATCCTTGGTTCCCGCCAACCGTAACTGCTGTCCTTGGTTCCCCACTCTCTCTCCTCTCTGCCCCCCCTCTCTCTCTGTCTAGCACACTTATATACGATAATACCGCCTCTTCTAGAATCTTCTAGGCTCTCAACACGTGCTGCCAGTGTCACTTGACTTCCGCTGTCGTAACACACTAGCGTTTATCACGAATCTTCTAGAATACTCGTTACGTGACCCCCGCTGTCGTAACACACTAGCGTTTATCACGAATCTTCTAGAATACTC